TCTAAAGCACTGCGGCCGGCAATTTGAAAAACAAAACAAAACAAAACAAAAACAAAAAAAACTGTGTTAGCCTCTCTTCACCTTTTCCTAAGCTTTCACCTCTGGGTTTTTGTTAACATTTAAAAAAGATATTTAAAACTGCACTTCAGCCGCCTTGTAAAATGATAAAATGAAAGAGCACATTGTACAGTCACCAAAGGTACACGTCAGTGCTTTTATCAAGTTCGGGGTCCTGTTCTGCTGCACTAATTGGAACCATGTGTTGAAAATGCAGGACAGGATTTTCAGCTGTTCTTTAATTAAATGGAATAAAATAAAAGCTTATATTTCTTTATAGCGAGAGGCTGCTGTGTTACTCCATTAGCAGGGCTGGTGGATGATCCTGAGGAGGAATACTGGCTCCCCAGCCAGGGCCCCGGGGATACTGGTAGCTGGCTTTACTAGTAATATTTGAGACATTGTCAGTGGTTCTATGTTATGATTTAGCCAGGACCACAGAAGGCCTGGTGGCACATGCCTCTCTCATAAGGAGATGAAGAGAAGTGATGAAGAAACCAATTATTTTCAAGTGTACTGGAGCTGACTCATGAAGATTTTTAAATATTCTTATAAAGTTCAGTTACTGCAAAGATCATCAGTGAAGGGGGAAAAAAGGCCTCCAGTCCACCTGCCCATTGAAATCTGTGCAGAAATTGTGGTAACTACAAATGTGTCTACTACAAAGACTGTAAGAAATATCGTCTCAAGTTTTCTGCTGGAATATGAAAAAAAAAATAATTTGATTAAAAAAAAGTGATATTTCTGCCACTTTATATTGGGGAGAGGGGCAATAATCTATCACTCTTACTATCCTAGGATCAAAATCCCAAAGAATAAAAGTCCACAAATGTATCCGTTCAGGGCTTAAGCCCCTCTTTCACAATGCCTTACATTATTAACGTCTATTGAGTGGCACCGGTATAGTGACCTGCACTCCCTTCCTGTCTTCCCAAGGTTGGGAACCAGAGCTGGTACCTCTGCACCAAGTGCTGAAGCCTTCGGGAAGAAATGTGCATTCTGCTTCCAACACAACAGTTGCGCCCACAGCTTCCAAGGCCAGTGCAGATGAGGACAGCGACAGTATTTCCTTCAAAGGTGCCCATCAGCAGCATTCTGCAGGAAATGGGTGCCCATGTGCCCACTCAAAATCAACTCACCAGTCCTGCTAATAGCATGGATAAATGCTTCTCTCTTTTCGCTCTGGGGTGTATGGTTCAAGATATCTTTCAGAAGATTCTCGTGGGGTGGAGTATGCACCAACCATAGAGCTGGTTGCCTTGATAAGGCCTCACTACACTGGCTTTTCCTCCTTTCCTTTTGTTTTCTGTCCAGCACTCCCCCTGTCACACTCCCAAATAAATTGACCGTATGCAAGCCGTTGGCTTAGGTTCGGCTGCTGGAGAAATGCAGAGCTAGACCAATTCCTAGGAGTGTCTTGTATGAGCAAGTTCCATAAGTAGTCTAATCTACCTATAATTTATTTGACTGGGCTGTGTTGTTTTTCAGATAGAAATTAAGTTGGAGACTGTCTCTAAATCAAAAATAGGTGGTTCAGGACAGGTCTATATTCTGTTTACTGAAACAGTGGCCACCAAAATTGCTCCTGCACTTCATAGGAATAGCTACTATCAAGATGGGTGCAGAGCTCTAATCTCTCCTTCCTTTCCTAGAGAACCAAGAGCCTGTAGGGACAGAGACCCTCACTCAGAAAGTATGGTTCCACGAGATCAAAGTTTAGGATGAGGGAAGAAAGATCAACATAAACAATAAAATTCATGTTGAATATTATTCAAATAGAGGAGAAAAAATCAGAAAATGAGGACAAATGTTGGTAAAAGAGAGGACATGTGCGTTATTTGAAAGGGGAAAATGAGTAGAATATAGGCTGGAGAGTGTTTTCTGAGTTGGTCAGAATTGGGAGTCAGAATAGGAGATGGTGGGTGGTCAGTTATGAAGCGACCACAAAATGCTTGTTGTAATGTAATTTTCAAGGTATCCTTTTCCAGTTATTAAAATGCACAGAAAATCATTCAGGTTATCACTAAACTACTTGCAAATATTAGAAGCTGTAAGATCAGCAGTGAAAAATTTTAAATTCAGACTAGCTACAAATGGATGCATGAATAGTTCTTTTGTGGTTCTATCACTCTTACAAAAAGTTACTATTTTTTTTAATTTCCTGATTTATAGGTAAATTCATGAGGCCTTACATGAACTTAGATGTTAGCTTCATTTTATTAAAAATGAATTCTGCAGCCGAAGCCGGTTTGGCTCAGTGGTAGAGCGTCGGTCTGCGGACTGAAAGGTCCCAGGTTCGATTCCGGTCAGGGGCATGTACGTTGATTGCGGGCACATCCCCGGTTAGGGGGTGTGCAGGAGGCATCTGGTCGATGTTTCTCTCTCATTGACGTTTCTGGCTCTCTATCCCTCTCTCTTCCTCTCTGTAAAAAATCAATAAAATATATTTTTTAAAAATGAGTTCTGCAAATAGTGCTGAGTGAAAGAATCAGACACAAAAGGACGAGGGTGAGCTGGCTCTTCTAGGCAGTATCTACCCAGGGGCCCTTGACTAGATTTACTGTCCATTCCCAGCTGCCCAGGATGGGCCTATGACCTGAAGTTTTCTGTGAGTCCATAACTTCCCAAGGAAGTGCCAGTCAGAATGGTGGAGCTCAATTATTATGTTCTTATTACATAAATTAATATCACACTCCTAAACACCCCTGGCCAGCACACTCTCTTCAACCTACTCCAAGTTCTATTAACCTTTTAATTGGATCTTTTATCTTCTGTAGGTCCTCACCCATAACTTTCCACTTATTATTCCTTTTATGCACTTATCTTACCACTTCTTAATATTACAGCTCATTACACAGTGATTTTGGGCCTAAGCCCACTCCCAATACTCCACCTCTTTGAGAGCAGGCCCCAAATTTCATTTACTAGAACATAAGCTCCACAGCAACAGAACACTCATATTATTGACTGCCACATCTAGTGCCCAGAACAGGGGCTGCCACAAATTCTTAACAAATATTTAGTGAATGGATGGATTCATCCTTAAATTCTTTGCATGGCCCAGTTCTGTGTTTTGTGCCTACCTGATCCTTTATAAACATTTGTTGAATCAAACTGAATCAACAAAGAGCTGCTCAGCTCCAAAATAGGGTCAAGTATTTTACTTTATTTTAAAATACGTTTTTTATTGAGTTCAGAGAGAGAGAGAGGGAAAGATGAATAGAAACATCAATGACCAGAGAGAAACACTGAATGGCTGCATCCTGCATGCCTCCAGTTGGGGATTAAGCCCACAACCTGGGCAAAGGCCCTGATCGGGCATTGAACAATGACCTCCTAGTCCATAGGTTGATGCTTAATCACTGAGCAACACTGGCCAGATAGGATGGAGCATTTTATAAGTTTGTCTGATTAGACCATTAAAAAAATAAAAAAAAACTTTTCTAAAGTAATTTCTTGACCTTTTAATATTACATAATATATCTCTTGTGGAGATGTGACTTTTCTTTCATGAATTTCCCTAATAAAGCCTGAGCAATACAATCAGATGCCAGGGCCAAGAATTATAAATTTTAAGCTGAAAAAAAAAAAAAAAACTTCAGAAATGCAATCCCATTATTGTATTATTTTCCACACAAACAACCTGAAACCTATTTTTGCCTCACCCTTTATATGACTATAATTTAAAACTCTAATTTTGGAAATATCAGCATATAAGTGATATTTAAAACCACAGATAACGTAAGAAGATAATGTAAGTAATAAAACGAGAAGGATAAAGATTTTTAGGCAAAAAAACAAAACAAAACAAAACAAAAAAAACAACCGAAGGACTTGTATACATGCATATAAGTACAACCAATGAACACAAAATTCTGGGTAGGGAGGGTATGTATGGGACGGGGAGAGAAATGTTAAAATATGTACACAGATAATAATTTAATAAAAAAATAAAAATTAAAAAAAAAAGTGGCCAGGAAGAAGAAGGAACACCAATAGCATAAATTATTGCAAAAGTCAAATGAAGAGAATGTTTATTGAGGAGAAGTGTTTGACTATCAAATGTTGCTGAAAGGATTAGTAATATGGGAATGGATCAATTTTTAGATTTATCAACATGGGGGTCACTCTGAACTTTTAGTAGCATGGAAGAAATGGTAATCCAACTGGAAAGAAGGAAGATGAAATGAGAGATTAGGAAGTAGAAACTGAATTTTTTAAAGTTGTTGCAGATGTCACTAAGGTGAATATGAAATGTGAACACAAGGTCCTTGTCACCAAAGAAGGTTCCATACATGAAAAACAAATGTGTCATCAATAATTTCCATGCTTTTAAAAAAATAAAAAGAGGGGCATATTTGTATCAGTAACCACTTTATAAAGACCTGTTAGTATAGTAAAGGAAAAAGTTAAGCTAAGTAACATATTTTATTAAGAATATGAAATCTTCAATGCATCAGAAATTGTATCATCAGATTTTATGGTAGTTTGTGTACAAACAAAAAATAGGTTTTATACATCTTTCCACAAATTACAACACTCAGACATAATTGTTCTGAATACAGTAGTTAAAAAAACACACAAGCCTGTGTAGACATTTGATTTGTTGTATTTCCAAAATCTTCCTAGACAGGATATTAGACAGCTTATGTAATACCTGTGAACTGAATAAGATAAATGTGTCCTTTGCAACAAAAAGTGAGATTTTATATAATTATAGGCATGCTGAGTGAATAGTTTAGAATAATGTACCACTGTCATCAAATCATATCTTCATATACACATGTAATCCATTTTGCACAATGGTTTCAGCTCAGTGTGTATGTAATTAAATCGTAAGATGAAGTAATAGCTGCTGCTGAGTTGAAATTTCACTTTTTTCGGTTTAAAGAAATGAATAGAAAGCATAGTCTAGTGAACATCAAAGCACTTTTCTGGGACAGTTAAATCTCATCAAAGAGGTCTCCGGAACTACTGTTTTTCAGAGTCTCTAACGACATGTTGTCAGTTGAGCTGAGCTCCTTTTTCAAAGTCTCTGGTAGTGGAGGATCAAGCCTAGAGACAAAGAAAATCATGATAATTTTATTTTTAAAATATTTCACAGAGTAAAATAAAATTAAGAGATACATAAGTAAAATAAAAGTTAATTGCTCTTTCAAAATTGGTTTAAAAACATAAAGAAAGATGAAGGGAATTTAATTACTTTAACTGTTTTAGAATTAATCTGTTGCTATTCTAGGTCACAAAAATTCAAGGTACTACAACAATACTCATGATTAAGGTAAAACACACACAATAAGCTCTGGTCTCTAAGTATGTTTATGTCAAGATCAGGATGGTTTCTCAAGCCATTTCTTTAATTATTCTATCCAAATTTTCATTTCCCTTTGCCTCCTTTAAATTCTACCTATTAACATGTGTTTTTTAATCTCAATAGTAGAAAGTTCCAATCCCAGGAATTCCCTTTAGTGGTCATTTGATTATAAGTCTGTGTATATAACTAACAATGATTTCATTTTAGCAGTTGTTGATCCACATATCTTCATATCTACACTTATAATCTACATATCTTCATTTAGTAACTAATTTTTATTCAGTTTCAGTACTGCAGTTACTACCTCAATCAACTGACCTCTCTATGTAAATATTCTTTTTGAGTCCTAGGATGAAAGGCATAGTCACTGACTGTTAACTGGCCTTAAAAACCAGTTTTAAAAAAACCAGCTGCAAGGCAAACAGATCAATCAGAAGGGCAGCTTAGGAGCAGCTTATACACTTGTATAAACCTTGTCAGTGGTCCTCCATGGAACCTAAATAAAATATGTTAATATTCACAATTAATGTCCCTCCAGGGGCAATTAAGACTAGGTCAAGTCGACCCAGCAATACTGAGTAATATTTCTAACTGCCAAGGCAGAGGAGCCACCCCCAGCTTGGTGTGGCTGAAAGAGAAGGGCTTGAAGTCAGGACACATAGATTTGAATCCCGGTCTATTTCTTATTAACTATGTGACCTTAGGCAAGTCATTGAACCTAACTGGATTTATGTTCTCTCTCCTGGAAGACTGATATAATAATATCTGCCTCAGAGGTAGTCTAAAGCTTAAATGAAAATGCTTATAACTTCTCACAAAACATTTGGAAACTATTAATATTAGCTGCTAATATTATGTAAACTACATAAGAGCTCCTGCTAAAGCTTAATTTAAAAAAATAACCAATTTAAAATCCCCAAACATTGAGGATGCTTTTGAGATTGTGAGTATTTCAAAAATCCTGCACCCATACTTAGCTGCACAGGTTAATAAAAATAAATCATGACTGTATACAATTAATTAACCAGGGTTGGCTGCCACTAGATCTGGGGCGTGTTCTGTCTTGTCTTGAGCAAGCCAAGTTCAGACAACATCACCTTCACTGGAATTCTAAGGTGTAAGACAACTACTACCCTCTGGGAATGCCAATGTTAAAACAACCATAAAGAGGGACACAATTATTGTGACATGCAATTAAATATTTAAAAATATAGTCCACAGGAGAATAAAATAATATAATACATTTAATTAATACATGCATAAATTTTTAATGCCAACTCAAAACACATTAAACATTTTTCTCTGGCCATAAATATCTCAGGAGTTGATTTTTCTCCTTAGTAAAACAGAGAATTGAAGTATTTCAATTAAAAAGTTAGACCTGGGAAAACCCTGTATAATTTTGTTTGCAGTCCATAGACACTGCACAACCAGAACACAGAGATCCTTTTAATTAAAAAATATATATATAGTATAAGACAAAAAGACCCTTCTGAAGTGATAAGTCTGAAGGAAATAGATTCCTGGTGCTCCATTTATGATTCCCATCTTCTTCTGAAGTGAAGAGGAGATTTAGACCCTTTGTTCTTAGTACCTCGTACATAATAGGTGTTCAATAAACTGCATTCAATGAATAGAGATAATTTTTCTACAGTTTTTATATCCTTGGTAATTCAACAGAGTAAATTTAGAGTTCTTCCTACAACCAAAATAGAAGTTTAATCATTTTTATAAATAATAAATTTTATTTTCAGACTTTTTATAAAGTCTGAAAAGTCCATCATCCTGCCCGGCCAGCATGTTTTCCCATGAATATAATATTTACTAGCCTGGAAAAAAACAGCACCACTAAAAACACAACTTAGTAGTGCAATTAAGGAGAATAAGAACACACAAAGAAAGGAGGCAGAACTCTACTTCTGGATATCAAGAAAAGAAGGGAAAAGATGGGCAGAAAATAATATCCAGTGTTGGAGGTTAGAGATTGCTAAGGAAGTGGCAGCCAGGAGTGATAGTTCCATCAGTGTGGAAGCAACTGTTTAGTTCCTTTCTGCTGGTGTAACAAATTATCGTAATGGAGAGGCTTACAACAATTCAAATCCATTATCTTGCAGATCTGGAGGTTTGCAGTGTGACCTAGAACTCACTGGCTTTTTCCAGCTACCAGAGGCCAACCTTTTCCTCCACTTGCAGAGCCAGCAATGGCAGGTGGACTCCTCACATCTCTACTTCGACCCTGCGTCCTTCTTTGAATGTCTTTCTCTGCCTATCTTCCTCTTACGGGCCTTTATGAGACATTGAATCTACCTGAATATTCAGGATATTTAAGGTGAGCTGATTAGCAACCTTAATCCACCTGCACCCTTAACTTCCCTTTGCCCTGGGATCTACTATAGTATGTGGACATCTTTGGAAAGGGGCATCATTCTGCCTACCACTCCAGCCTTAACTTGGTTAGGGCTCAATTGTCATCCTAATCTACCAGTTTAAATACATTTCAGTATAACTGAATAGAGAAAAAGACTAAGCAAAACCAGGATATGGAAGGCCTTCACTAAAAAGAAACCCTCACGCTGGCTGGAAGAGACATGTGCAAGGTCTGTGCAATATAACATGAAACTCAAAGGAACCAACACAGGTCTCCTATTTAGATGCAAACGGAATCAGAATCACCAGTGGGGAAGAGAGCTGGCAACCACTGTTATCCATCATTCCCCCACCCCTCTGCCACCCGCTATTCATCAAGAGCTTCCCATGGTCAGAGGCTGTGCTGGATGCTTGGAATACAAAGGTGAGCGAACAAATAATCCAAGGCAGAAATAGCACTGAGCTGCTGATAGGCCGATATATACTTCTAGCAACCCTGGTCTTAGAGATAGCAAAGCAGAGTGACAGAGTGTTGGTTTCACTGGGATAGTTCCAAAGAGTAAGGCTGTTAAAGACCCACAGACAAGGCCACTTCATGGGCACGTGACCCATGCATTCAGTCACACAGAGCCACACGCTGAGAAGGACCTTATCCCAGGTTTAATGTTTGCTATCACTATTTTGAAAGTCTTAAGGATTTTGAACAAAAGTGTTATTATGAGTTTTCATTTTGCACAGGACCTGTAGATTATTGTAGTCTGTCCTGACCTATATGTCCCGGTCACTTTGAGTGACTTTGGTACACCAGACACAAACTGAACCTAACCAAGTGCTCAGACTTATTTTGGACCAATAAATGTAACTTAAAAACAACACCATGTCAATTGTATGTATGGGTGTGTGGACTCATTCTGTCCTATTAAGAATCTAGTTTTGATTCTTATTTAGCATAATCACAAGTTAACTTTGATAGCACTAAAAAAATAGCTTCTATTTTCTCTCCAGGAAAATATTTGGTGAATTTTTTCACTGGTAATTTTGTGTGTGTGTGTGTGTGTGTGTGTGTGTGTGTGTGTGTGTGTTTTTTTGCCTGAAAATAAATAAATAATAATGTATTTTCCTAACAAATGAATACTCTGCTTTATTAGGCTTCTTCTCCCTCCTCTCCTCTTTTTTCTTTTTTAAAGTTTTACTGTCTTTTCTTTATAGTAAGAGAACTATTTTTACTTCAATTTACAGATTTTTCCAATAATTTAGTCCTTGCTAGTGGACTTTATTCTTAGTGTTCACCTCTGCTCACAAAGCAGCAAACTTGTCACCAGTATCATCTGCGTTGTAGACTTCCTATCACCTTCCCTTTTGATTTGCTGAATATCAGTCTACCCCAAATCCTACTTGAAGTTTTCAGGGTAAGTTCCCATAACTCTTGAAGAGATGCTTAGCTATTAACAATTAAAAAGTGACTGATGAATCTCAGAGGAAATATTGAGAGGGGTTGGGATTGGGGTGGGAAGCGATTGACCAATCAATTTATATGCATATATGCATAACCCAAGGACACAAGACAGTGGTATGGTGAAGGGAGGGGAGCAGGTCGGGGTTGGAGGGGGTCAATCTATAATATTTTAGATAATAAAAAACAAAATAAAAAATAAATAAAAAGAACTTATAAAAAAAGAAATTCTTAAAAGTAAATAAAAGTAATTCTTACCCTTAATAACAATAATTGTTTTCGTACCTTAAGCAACTTTTCTCATAAAGAAAATTAAATTTTTGTATCAGAAGATAATATTAAGGAAATATTTATTTATATTCATGGGAATTTTATTAAAATAATGATAGACCCTATTAGATACCCAGATAAATCCAATCCAAAATACTGCTTCCAACATTTAGGTGGGATGTGGTTAAAAGGCTATTTCCATTTTGGAATAGTTCTTCTAGGTCCAAAATTCTAGTGTTTTCAGAATAGAAAGGAACAGTTAAACTTTTAGGTTTCACCCAAAGTTATGAAACCACATGTTCTGTTATTATCTCCTCTTCTTAACTTACTTTGGGTGTTGAAATGTTCCTTAGGATGAAATAATTACTACTTAAGATAAACATTTGTTTAAAAGAAATAATGAATTTCCATACTCGCTTCTTAGAAGAAGACTAGGTTTCAGATACAGAAATTCTAAATCCTATATCAATCCTAGTGAATGCAAGGAATAACAAAATCATTTGTTTTTTTGGTGTATGAAGTAGCATATGCATATTACAAAAAATTAAAAAAAAACTTTATAACAACAGAAAAAGTAAAATAAAAATGATCCTGTCCATCACCTGTTGATATATTAGTATATGTTTTTTTTCCCAATTCAATCAAAATTCT